ATGGCTATTCCCAAGAAAGATGATCCAACCAAATGCCGAAATTATTGGACAATATCATGGATATCAGACGCATTCAAAAGCGGCTGCAGCAGTATATTGACAGGGAACTGCTAGAAATTCAAGCCAGATTCAGAGGAAGACCTGTAACTAGGGATTTCATAGCTGATGTCAGATGGATCCTGGCTGAAACAGAAAATACTAGAAAGATGTTTACCTGTGTTTTATTGACTATGCAAAGGCCTTGGACTGTGTGGCTCATAACAATTTGTGGATGACTTTGCGAAGAATGGGAATTCTAGACCACGTAATTGTGCTCATGAGGAACCTGTATATAGATCAAGAGGCAATTGTTTGAACAGAACAAGGGGATACTGCATGGTTTAAAGTCAGGAAAGGTGTGCGTCAGGATTGTGTGTGGTTATGTAGGTAGATATGAATGAATGCATATATGTGTATAGAAAGGCATATGTGACTAGATGCATGTGCATGTATAGGTGTATCTGGAGGCCTATGTATATAAATGTTTGTATGTACTGCATATATAACAAACCACATAGGGGGCACAATTATGGAGGCTTCTTAGACATATCCATATAACTTGTGGGATTGGTTTACTGGGTTAAAAGGCTTGCGACCATAGTCTTGAGGGACAGTTTAGTCAATTGGCATAACATAGTTCAGAAAGTTATAATGTTCTATATCCTACTTTGGTGAGTAGCATGTGGGGTCTTAAAAGCTTGTGAGTGGCCATGTAAGATACAGCTATTGGTCTGCTTGCGTGGAGGAAAAGAGAATGAAGGAAGTCAAAGGCTCAAAGAAGAAACAAATCTACAGGACTAATAGCCCACAGGAACCAAGGCCTCTTCTAACCTGAGACTAGAACCAGATGTTGCTCGGCTCACACTACTGACCATTCTGACCAAGAACACAATGGAAGGTCCCATACAGAATGGAAGAAAAATGTAGAACAAAACTCAGATTCCTAAAAAAGTTCAGACCTACTGCACCAATAGAAACTGAAGGAAACTCTGAGATTATTGCCCTAAGATACGCTTTGAACTTGGCACTGATTCTACTCCTGGAGGTCACCTCTCAGCCAAATAATAGATTGGCTTATAAAATAAACAATATCACCTGTGAGTAATGTGCTGCCTTAAAAAATCAACTGTATGACTCCAAATGGTGAACACTTACCCAAAAGCAAAGATGAGAAGGCAAGGAGGAGAAGGGAAGCTAGATCAATGGAAACAGAACAAACAGACTGGAAATAATGAGAAGACACATTGTGAAAACTGTAACTCATGTCATGGAACAGTCTGTATAAAAATTGTTAAGGGGAACCTAATTTGCTGTGTCAACTCTCACCTAAAACAATACAATTATTTATTATTTTCTAGGATCCAGCTTTTGGTCTTGTTAACTGTTTCAGTTTTTGTACTCTATTTCATTTAGTTCTTCTCTAATTCTTATTATTTCCTTTCTTCTGGCCCTTGAGAGCTTCTTTTGCTGCTCTCTTTCTGCTTGTTGGAGTTGTAGGGTTAATGTTTTGATTTTGGCCCTTTCTTCTTTTTGGTTGTATGTATTTATTGCTATAAACTGACCTCTGAGCACTGCTTTTGCTGTATCTCAAAGATTCTGGTAGGATGTGTTTTCATTCTCATTTGATTCTGTGAACTTCTTTATTCCATCCTTAATTTCTTCTATAACCCAGTAGTTTTTGAGCAAGGTGTTGTTCAGTTTCCATGTGTTTGATTTTTTTCCCTTGCTTTTTCTGTTTTTGATTTCTACTTTTATGGCTTTATGGTCAGAAGAGATGCTTTGTAATATTTTGATGCTTTGGATTTTGTTAAGGCTTGCTTTATAGCTTAATATGTGGTCTGTTCTGGAAAATGTTCCATGTGTGTTGGAAAAGAAAGTATACTTGGCTGCTTTTGGGTGGAGTGTTTCGTATATGTCCATGAGATCAAGTTGGTAGATTGTAGCATTTAGATCTTCTGTGTCTTTACTGAGCTTCTTTCTGCATGTTCTGTCCTTTACCGAAAGTGGTGTGTTGAAGTCTCCTACAATTGTGGAGCTGTCTATGTCTCTTTTCAATGCTGTTAGAGTTTGTTTTATGTATTCTGGAGCCCTGTCATTGGGAACGTAAATATTTATTATGATTATGTCCTCCTGGTGCATTGTCCTTTTAACATTATATAGTGTCCTTTCTTATCCTTTGTGGTAGATTTTACTTTAAAGTCTGTTTTGTTAGGGATTAATATTGCCACCCTGCTGTTTTTTGAGTCAAAACACAATACAATATTATTTAAAAAAAAAAAAAGTTTATGCTTTTATGTAAGAGTTTTGTTGAGGCAAGTACCAGAGAATCACAATAAAGAGTCAATCCAGAGGGGGAAAAAACCAAAAAAGCCAATGGCACTATCCCCTCATCCTTACCCTATAGAATTCACTTCCTTTTCTGTATGTAGCACATTGTACATGGTCCTGTTGTGAGGCTTTGTGGTGTAGTGATTTACATAATGTGGCTCTTCTAGCCACGCATAGGCTTGTGACTCCTATAAAATCATTGGGTAGAACTATGCAAATAAGGTGCTTGTGGTCCACCAAGGGGATTGGACGGCTTGGTAACAATGCAAATAAGGTGCATGGAACCTGTAAAAACAGTGTGGGAGAGGTGTCTAACCTCCTAACTTTACAAGTAGGAAGGAGAATCAAGATCAAAAGCCCAAGACTGATTCCTGTGAGGCAGGGTCAGACATACCTCCTCTCTTCACCACCTTTACCAATTCTGACACCAACCATCCCTCTCACAGTACTCTCTACTGGGTTCGATAATTCATTGCAATGGCCACACAGAACTCACAGACCATACTTACAATTATGGGATTTATTAGGGAAGTAACAGGTTACAGTTCAGGCTCAGGAACACTTAAGGATAGAGTTCTTTCATCAGGACAGCTTCTTCATAGCCATACATGCAGGCATGCCTCTCCCTGGCCCTGGGCCTCTGCCTCAAGGCACTCAGCTTTGTCTCTCTGTGGGACAGGAGTCCCACTGCACTGATTCCTGCTGCTGGGTCTCTTCTGCCACCACTTCTCAACATCTTTAGGGTTATAGCTCTCTCTCTTGGTCTCTTGCTTCCAGGAGCTTCTCAGCATGGGGATCCTAGGTCCAAAGGATGTGCTTGCTGGCTCCTAGCTGTTCTTCCTTGACGGTGGTGGGCTTTTCTCTTTCCCACCTCTGGGGTAGCTCATTTCAAACCCAGCAGGAGGGCAAAACTGACCAATCCCTTTAGTGGGCCACAATTTCCATATCTGTACAGTCCCACCCAATCACTTGGGTGGAAGTTACAGGACCATGGCTAGAAAGGCCGTACAAAAGTGATCCATCACACTGCAGAGCCCTTGTGGGTGGTGAGGCTGTGCAAATATGTATGGAACCCTAACGAGTGGATTGGTCAGTTTTGCCATTCTGCTAGGCTTGAAAAGAGAGCCAATCCCAGAGCAGAGAGGGGACCTCACTACCATGAAGAAAAAAGACCCAAGAGTGGAGCACATCTTTAGACCCAGGATCCCTGTGCTGAGAACCTCCTAGACCTATGAGACAGAGAGAACTGTTAATACTGGAGAAGGTGGGAGATGGTAGGAGTGGTGGCCAGTGTGGCAGAGAAACGGCAGCAGTAGCAGAACCAGGTCACTGGCACTAGACAGCGCAGTGGGCTTCCTGGCCCATGGAGGGAGGCATCTACAGTGGGTGTATTGATCTACTGGTTGAGTGGGGTGCCTCCGATGACTTAATTGGTAGAGCTAAAGAGTTTTGTAACACTTGCCTAAATAGGACAGAGGCCAGGCCGAGAGGAGCCTGCCCTAGGGGGGCTAACAGGAGACTGTCCTTGGGGGCAGCTAAGAGGAGACTGTCCTCAGGGGGCCGAGTGTGAGGGCCCAGGCCCAAGCAGGGCCCAGTGGCACAAGCCTGCCTATTGGCATGGCCAGAGAAGAAGCTGTCCTGATCGAAGAGCTGTATCCTAAGTTGTACCTGTTACTTCCCTAGGAAACCCCATAACTATTGTCTGTGAGTTCTGTGTGACCATTGCAATGGATTATCAAAACCCAGCAGAGAAATAGAGAGTGCTGTGGGAGGGACAGCTAGTGTCAGAATTGGTAAAAAGGTTGGCGCAAGGAGGTATGTCAGACCTCTACTTCATAGGAGCCAGCTTTGTGCTGATGTTGATCTTCATTCTCTCCCCTCCCTGTTGTGAAGTTAAATGAGGAGGGCTGATGCCGCCATTTTTACAAGCTTAGAACATGTGTTTTTACAGGTTTATGTTTCCCTATCTTATTCCTGCCTTTTTCCATTAGCTCCCTGGATCCTTGGCTCTACCACTTCTTAGCTGTTGATTTGGGGCAAATAATTTAAACTCCGAGCTTCCGTTTTCTCATCTGAAAATGGTTTAGTTCCTTGTAGGAGCTCACTAAGGCCTACCAGCATGGGTGACCAGACCTCTGTGAGAGGGACTCAGAGTCTCTGTAGTTCTGACAACCTCCTGGGAACGTTCATTTCATCCTCAAGAGAAGTTGCCTCTTCTTGGGCCTGTTCTGTTACCTAGTCTTGCTTTGTCTCCTTATGGCTTTTGCCTGCTTACACTGGCTTGAGACCTTATTTAGTCAAGGCTGGATACTTCTGGCTCTACACCCCATCTTTGTTTTTAGGTATTGGAGCTCTTTAACACAGACCTTTAGAAGGAAGGGCAGCCAAGCCAGGCTGGTTGTCTGGTTAGGGTTTATCCAGGAATTGTTGGCTTTGGTTCTGGGCACCCTGTCTCAGTTGCTTCTGCCTATAGGAACATACATACAGCCACATATTTGTTCCCCTACCACCTCTGCTCCCCTTTTCCCCATCCATCTCTCACCCGTGTTTTGTGGAAGTCTTGACAAGTGGGTGGCTGAGCCCCAAACTGCAGCATTGACTCCCACACCATTCTCTTCCCATCTTTGTTTCAGGAGGCAATGTCGACTTCCTGTGTCCTTCTGCATACTGGGCAGAAGATGCCCCTGATTGGACTGGGCACCTGGAAGAGTGAGTCTGGCCAGGTGAGGGATGGGGGAACAAGAGGGGAGCTTCTTGAGCCTCTGTCAGGGAAAAGGCAGGATTTAGGAGAAGGACTCTGCGTTTTCCCTGACAGCCTTCTCACCTTATACTCCACTTCATGTAGGGATGAGCCTGGAGGACAGTGGGAAGAGGAAAGGGAAGAAGGGACCAGCAGTGAGTCCTTGGCTCCCCCCAGCTGCTTTCACCTTCCCAGCTCACTCAGAGGAGGGACTGAGGGGCCCAGTAGGGCCAAGGGCATAGAAAGGAAACCTTTTTCTAACTGCATCTGTACTGTGTGCCACGGCAGATGTGGGGCCCACATGTGCATGCACATGTCCATATGTGAGTGTCCACGGCAGTGACAGCAGCCTTTGTTGTTGCTGGCATTGAGGAGTTGACTTCCCTGTATCACTTCTCATTCATTGTACTCCCTAAGGCCCCTCTCCTGTATCACTTCTCATTCATTGTACTCCCTAAGTCCCCTCTGCCCTATCACCCTGTGCTGTGGTCATGTCTTGTCTCCTACACCTAGATTTTGGGGGGTAGGCCTCTCCCTAGTATTCACATGCAGCTAGGCACACAGCAGGTGTCGGGGTTTGAACAAGAAGTAGGTCAACTGTGTAGACCAAGGATCAGCAAGCTTTTTCTAAAAGGACCAGATAGTTAATATTTTAGGCTTTGCTGGACAAAAGGCAAAATGGAGGCTATTATGTAGGCGTTTATATAACTGTTTAATAAGTAACCATTTAAAAATATAAAAACCACCCTTAGTTGATAAGCTTTAGAAAAGAAATGGAAAAAAAAAAAAAAAAAGGTAGCTGCTGTAGTTTATTAACTCCTAGTGTAGACCCTGGAGACCTGCTTTTCTAGGGCTGACATAGCACCTGGGGTGGGGCTTTTTCCATGTTTCTTGGAAATCTGAGTCAGAGTCAAGAGAAGTTTGGGGATTAAGTTTGGGAGGGACTCCAGCATGGAGAACAGCCAGTTCTATCTGGGATTTAGACTGGTATTTATGTTGTGGTTGGGTGATCTCTGCCTTCTTCCCTTTGCTTTCCTTCTACAGCTGCCTAGGACCCTGCAGCCAAGGACCCATTGATCTGGGCAGGCATTCCAAACAGCCTGGGGACAAGTCCAGAAGCTAGGTCAATGCAGAGTGTGGGCCCTTGACTTAGGTTCTGGACACAGAACCAAGGACAAGGACTGGGTTACAGAATAGCAGGAGTAGGGTGAGGAGTTTGAGTAACTGCCCCTAGATGGGGGTCTTGAATGCCAAGCCAGGTACCCATAGCAAGAGTTCTGAGTGCATTGTGGCAAGGGCCTGTCACCTTGGGTCCTGCTTCTGATGCCGTATTTCTAGTCTAGTTTTTAGCAAATTGACTCACCCATCCTCTTGCTTGATGCCTGCTTTCTTCTCTCCCATCTGGGGACTCTGGGCCGAACTTTTTCACCTTCCTTAGTTTTTTCCCTCTCATCTCTTCTGCTGGCCTTGAGCCTCCATAGCACACTGTGGCTGCATGACTCCCCACGGGCCTTTTGCTGTGTAGTCTTGATCTAGGAATGGATCATGTTCCCTAACCAGCTCCTCAGGGCTGGGCACCTGTCTCCATGACCTGTACTTCTATTTATCCATCCATCTTTTGATTCAAGAAATATTTACCAGATCTTCCTTTCTGTTAGATCCTGGGAACACATTGTTAGTTTTTTGCTGGGCTCTGCTGAGATGACTTGAGTAGGAAGGGAGTTTGGAGGTTGGTGGGATGGGGGCAGGACAGAGGGTTTGGGTCCCCTGAGGAGGCTTGTGGTCCTCTAGACTAGAGCCGTTTTCCATCTTCTCGCCTCCACTGCATGGATGGCCCTGGTATATTCCTGCTTTTCTATCACTGACCCTCGGAATGTTGGCGGGAAGGAGTTTCTGGCTTAGACCAACAGAGCTGAAACCTCTGCTCCTTTTACCTGACAGGTGAAAGAAGCTATTAAGTATGCCCTGAGCGTTGGCTACCGCCATATTGATTGTGCTGCTGTCTATGGCAATGAGGCTGAGATCGGGGAGGCCCTGAAGGAGAATGTGGGACCAGGCAAGGTGAGGACTTGGGCTCCAGAGAGGGGTGGGATGGAGAGTTGAGAGGCTGGGGCTGGAGGGTGGAGGGAATCCAGTACTAGCTTCCTTTTAGTTCCTCTCCCGAGGTGAGGTTGAGTGACACTTGGTGCCCATGGCCTTTCTCATTATGGTCCTTGCCTTTTGTACCACGAGGTGTTACGGGAGCATCTGTTTGTGACATCCAAGCTGTGGAACACCAAACACCACCCTGAGGATGTGGAACCTGCCCTCCGGAAGACGCTGGCTGACCTCCAGCTGGAGTATTTGGACCTGTACCTCATGCACTGGCCTCATGCCTTTGAGTGAGCTGTTGCCAGGGTCTTTATCCAGGCAGGCAGGCGATCTGGGTAGGGTAGTGTTAATAGGTTATCGTAAGTCACAGTGGCAGAGCAGTATAGGAACACTTGTCTGTGTGAGATATGCAGAGCTTGCCATGGGATCTCAGCCTTTTCTACTGTAATAGCCAGGAATTTAGCTATAGAAAAAGGAATGTAGTTTACTGTGGTGTATATCTTGGGTGTGTATGGGTGGTCCCTCTGCTCCCTTTATTCATTCAGGAAACATGTACTGACCCTTCTGTAGGGCTAGGTCCTGGGTTGCAGTAACAAATTAGCCCCAGCAGAGGGTGTGAGAGGAACCTACCATCAGTACTGTGTCCTGTGCTGGAAGAGCATGTAACTCCCTCAGGAAGAAGGAGCTAAGGAGGACATCTCAGAGGAAAGGAGATACAATCTGGTCTAGGAAGAAAAGAAGGGGGAATGGGTATTCCATGTAGAGTTAACACCTGAGTCATGATCTGGAAGGGTGAGAAAGCACAACTGTTTCTCACTCTTGGCCCTTTGGCCTCTTTGGAGTTGGGGCATGGAACATAGAGTAGCTGGATGGGCAGATAGAGCAGGAGCTTGGCATTTATGCCCACACTCAGGGGGTTGTCCCACACTCAGGCAGGGAGACAACCCCTTCCCTAAGAATGCGGATGGGACTATACGCTATGACTCCACCCACTACAAGGAGACCTGGAAGGCTCTAGAGGCACTGGTGGCCAAGGGGCTGGTGCGGGCACTGGGTCTGTCCAACTTCAACAGCCGGCAGATCGATGATGTGCTCAGTGTGGCCTCTGTGCGCCCTGCTGTCCTGCAGGTGAGCAAGGCAAACAGACCAACTGTTTGGGGTTTGTTCACAAGAGCATGAGTGAGCAGGTGATGGGCCTTCTTAATGGAAACGGCTAACAAGATGTCAGAGTGTTGGTGTGCAAGTTCTCAGCCTAAAAGCAGGTGTTGAATCCCTGGGAGAGAGTGAAATCGCCAGTGGCAGACAGAATGAGAAAAGCGGGCTGAGGAAGAGGGGAGCATCTGCAGTGCAGGGTTGGTCAGGACATGCATGTGTGAGTGGGGCTGGATAAGCTGGGTGTGGGCACTTTTGGTGATGAATTGTTTTCTGGCTCAGGTGGAATGCCACCCATACCTGGCTCAGAAAGAGCTGATTGCTCACTGCCATGCACGTGGTCTGGAGGTGACTGCTTATAGCCCTCTGGGCTCTTCTGATCGTGCTTGGCGGGATCCTGATGAGCCTGTCTTGCTTCAGGATCCAGTGGTCCTGGCACTGGCTGAAAAGTATGGCCGGTCTCCAGCTCAGGTCTTGCTCAGGTATGTGCAGTACTGGGGAAAGAGAGTCTGTGGGGACAAGGGACCCTGGGTTTGGGAGGCAAGGGTTGAGGGGTTCCTTAAGAGCTTGCAATGTGATCTGAGTGGAGGCCACTGTGAGGCATGTACCGTGTTCTGGTGGGGCTCCAGGGCTCTTGGAGCTCAGAGAAGGCTGCATGGAGGATGAAACAATGCTTAGGAGGACTAACAACTCTTCCTTATCTACCTCAATCCCCTGCCTTAGGTGGCAGGTCCAGCGGAAAGTGGTCTCCATCCCCAAGAGTATCACTCCTTCCCGAATCCTTCAGAACATCCAGGTATGTGAGTGATGGTCCTGTCCTTTTTAGCCTTTTGGGACACAGTGTGGCCCCAACTCTGCCTGGCTACAAAGGCAGTTCTTTGCAACCCCAGTTTCTACTTACATGGCTGGACTTTGTGACCCCCACCACCTCCCTTTTCGCCCCCAGGTGTTTGACTTCACCTTCAGCCCAGAAGAGATGAAGCAGTTAGATGATCTGAACAAAAATTGGCGATATATTGTGCCCATGCTTACGGTGAGGATTTATCAACCCCCAGGTTCAGGGAATGTGAGATCCCAGTAAGATGCTGCCCCAGGTCTGGCCTCAAGGTGTTGCTCAGGGGAAGGACAGAATGTTAGTGGTAGTAGTGGGAGCATTGCTGTCCAGGACACAATGATCTCTTTTCCCTTTATTGAGCTCTGGGAAGTAGTATAGTTCAGGGATAAGGAGCGTACCCTGTGAGTCCCAGTCCTGCCTCTTGGTATCTTGTAACCTAGAACGAGTTACTTGACTTCCCTAAACCACAGCTTCCTATCTGTAAAATGAGGGCAGTTCCTGACGGGTGGTAGGTTCTAAATAAATGATATCAATGAGGGGAACCCAGAAGGTATTTTTGACCTTGTTAGGGGGGATTGGGTGGGGTTCAAGCCTGCTGTACACAGGGAAATAAATAGTTTCCTAGCACTTAATCTCAGCTGAGACTGTTAGCTATGTATTACGGGTTTGGTGCTGTAATGCCTCTGATACTGTGGCATTCATGAGGCCAGGGGCCTGATCACTGCCATCTGGCATAGTGATGTAGATAGCTGAGGTTATTCAGGAAGCTTTGGGGAAGGGGAGGTACCCTCCATCTTTGGAATGTCAGCTTCTGCTAATGGAGTCATCTGTCCATCTGTCTTTCCAGGTGGATGGGAAGCGGGTCCCGAGAGATGCGGGGCATCCTCTGTACCCTTTCAATGACCCATACTGAGGACACAGCTTTCTGACTTCCCTTCCAGCTCTCCTGCTGTGAGGTCCTGGTATCTCCAGAAAGGGAGTTATTAAAGCTACTGGAGGATCCACACTGCTTACTTGTCTTATCTTTCTTGTCAAGCCTGGGAAGGAAATTGTTTCCCTTAGGAATGCCACACCTGGGCTGCTGGGTATGACCTGCCCCAAAGTCCAAACTTCCTTTTCTTTCCTGGTTCTGAATTCCAGGCTGCATTCCTCTATTAGGTACATTAGAGGAGGAACGCCATCTCGTGGCAGCTCTGAGCACTGCATGCTTCCCTAGAGTTGTCTTAATGGAGAATGTCATAAATTGGTCACCTTAGAGGACTGAGAACAGGGCAGTGAGTCTCCTGTGGTTTCATGGCAGTGCTGGGCCTGGGTGTTGAGTTTCCTTTCCCCTGTTCTGGTCAGTAAGGAGCCCTGCTGGCACAGTGGTTAAGTGTTCAGCTGCTAAGGGAAAGGTTGGCGGTTCCAACCCACTAGCCGCTCTGAGGGGACAGGCTATGTGGCAGTCTGCTTTCATAAAGATTACAGCATTGGAAGCCCTATGGGGCAGTTCTACTCTGTCCTATAGGGTTGCTGTGACTGCAAATCGACTTGACAGCAATGGGGAGTTCCGGCCAATGCCTAGGGCTAGGAATGTGAGGTACCCAAATGGGGATACCAGCTTGCAAAATCATGAAAGGTGAGGACAGGGGCTTTTTCTCTCAGATGTTGCAATCAGTGTGCATAGGCTACCTGAAGGAGGCAGAGTCAGGCTCAAGGCTTGGTACTCTGCACCTAGGGTCCTATCTTACTAGCTTTATAGTCCCACCAAAGGCCACTGATAACCAGGTTTTCGGAAAGTTTTTGGCAAATTGTTCACAGCTCCAGTCACACAGAACTGATTTTTGTTTCCCAGATGCTCCTCATTCAGCAAATACAGGTTAGGCAAAAGGCTAGACCCTGGGGATATGCCAAAACACATAAGGTCCGTACAGTCAGCTTGAAGAGACAGACTGAGTAATTGCATAATTAGTTTAACTATAATTAGAACAAGTGTTACGAAGAATTGCGGGACAGGAAGCCAGTTAATTTAATCAACTGAGATCTGAAGTATGAATAGGGATTAGTTAAAGGAAGTGAGAGTGAGAATATTGTAACGTGTAAATTGAACAGCTTAGGGGAAAGCCTTGAAAGTGGAAGAAGCTTTTCAGAAAACCAAAAGAAGTTTTGTGTGACAGAAAGTGAAAGAGGGGAGGAAGAATGGCATGGAATGATGCTGGAATTAGGCAGGGGCCTGGTGATGCAGGGCCTAGGAGAATGTTAAGATTTTTTTTTATCCTGCTTACAGTGGGAAGCCATGAAAGCATTTTGAGCAGTAATAACATTACTTGAGTTGTGTCTTAGACATAACCCTGGTGCAGTGAAGAGAATGGGTTAGAGGTGTAAAAAGTGGGTGGGAGAAGCATGTTGGAGGCTGTTACAAGAGGTTAGTCTTTTGCCTCTGGGCCTTTACACACAGTGTCCTGCCTGAAACAGTCTACCCTTTAGCCCACGGTGCTGGCTAACTTAACTACTAAATGTTCAGTTTAGCTGTCACTTCCTCAGGGACATCTTTCCTCACCTCACCCTCCCTAGGTGGCTCTCTGTTTGATTCCATAGCTCCCTCACACTGTATCATGATCCAAGACTCCACAATTAGGAGGTAAGGAAACCAAAGTTGTCATAACATGAAACTATCCACCAACAAGCGAACAACTTAAAAGTTATTCTTGACTCGTTATTCTTGCCTCAGACATCTCACCCTGCTTAACATCACATTTCTGTGTCTACATCTTTGTCTAAGCACTGAACAGTGTGGTGCACATCCACTGTGTCACACTGTGAAATTGCAAATCTCACAAAAGATGTAATGTTTTACGAAGCAATGAAAGTGATGTTGGAGAACTTCTCAAATCATATCCAAAACTACTGACAAACGAAGATCCGACAGTTAACTGAAAGAGAAAATCAAAGATAAGGAGACTAGACTTCAAAAGAGCATGATTGGAGTATCACAGTATCAGGGAAGGTCTCTGAAGTCCCTTGGTGGTACAAATGGTTAACACTCGTGGCTGCTGAGTGGAATTTGGAGGTTTGAGTCCACCCTGAGGCTCCTCAGAAGAAAGGCCTGGTGATCTACACCTGAAAAAATCAACCATTGAAATCCCTGTAGAGCACAGTTCTACTCTGACACACATGGGGTTCATATGTGTCACACATTAGTCAGAATCAAGTGATAGCAAGTGTTTTTGTTTTTTTTAAGAAAGGCATTTGGCAAAATTACAGTCCGAAGTACTTTTCTAAAAATATGATTATCGTTTCCAATAAAAGACTACAGACTCTGAATTTTCAAGTGAGACTGCCTTTATAAGCCTGCGTTGCAGGAAGGGAGGGAGTGCTGACCAGTCAGAGGTTAGCACCACCACGTCCCAGCTGCTTACATCAAAATTCTTCATATGTAAGTACAATCTAAGACACCTCTCAGAAGTTGCCTTGCCTGCGTGGAGGAGGAGCTGTCTCATACTTGTGTAGGGAAAATAAGACCCTGTGACATTCTGCAAGTAGCTACTTGAGAGAGGGGACAAATAACATACATTTGAAAGAGGACACAGTATTTGTCCAGGAAAATAAGATCTATGAAGGAGTTCTCATATTTGTCCAAGGCATTAAAATACCGATAATTCCTTTATTGGTTGAGATTTTAACTTTTAGAGTGTACACAACATGTTCCGTTGCTATTGGAAGTTGCTGTCCTCTTTATATTCTTTGTGGATCATTCACACTTTGACACCTGTGTATTCATGAAACTTTAAATATGCCCATTAAGGGTTATACTGTTGGTTTTGTTTCTCTACGTCTTGGTGGGCCTTTGGTCTGTCAAGATATGAGTAGGTTGTTTTATACAACATGACAAGCAAGCCCTACCTAGCGTAATAAATACATGGAGAGCACATACTGTTTCCAGGATAATAAATCTTTAACTTTTTAATTACATTGCACCTCACTCCCTTACAGCGATCGAAGGGTTGTTCTTTCTCAATGGAGTAGAGAACAGGACTATTCCTTTAATTTTAGGGATCTCTCTAATTGGCCTAGCAGATTAACAGCTTGTGTTAATAAGAGCTCAAGAGCCATTTATGCTGCTATGACTGAGATGATACCTCAATTTGTAGAGACCCCTGGTGTCACTTTTTGCATTAAAGCCCTACTCATATTCCAGAGAGATTACAATGGCCTTTTCTGCAAGCTTTTGTCAGGCAGCATAGGTGACATTTCTAAAAAATATTGCTCTGGTGACCTTGTAGCCCAACAGGGTTTATAGCCAATAATCGGATTTAGGAAGATGCTTAGGCCTGGTGTACATCAAGTATCAAAGAACCCAAAGAGGCAAAGGACTATTTTTCTCCACTACCGTAGGAAAAAAAAATCATGTGAGAGAAAGAGATTGTATGAGACAGGAAGGAGGGACTTCCTTGTAAAAGCAAAGTACAATGGTAAAGAATGGTAAAGGCTTTAGAATCCTACAGTTTATAGTAGCTTAGTGGTTTCCTTTCATAACACTAGTCTTGAGATGCTTTGTCTTGAGTCTCCGTGTACTTATTTCAGACTTCCTTATACCTCTTATTTTTTTCCTTATAGAAGATTGTAGGGAACCTCCAGGACAAAATTAAAAACTAGTGATAATTGGCAAGGTAATCTTGTTCCTAATCTTAAAGGGCTGTTTCTCCATTAAATATAATATTTACAATAGGTTTTTGGTATATAACGTTTAGAAACATAAAGAAGTTAGTTTCTATTCCAAGTCTGCTAAGAGATTCTTTAACCTTCTTTTTTAATCATAAGTAGAAACTATTATTTTGAAATTGTGTCTATAGTTATTCTGTATTTTGTTTTTTTACATTTTCTGTCTTTGTGTCTAGTTATTCTGTATTTTCTCTGTTTTGCATTTTTTATATTTCTGTATTTTTAATCTTTTCAAAGCAGTCTTTAGTTTGCTAATCCTCTTTTTTCTGTCTTGATTTCTGCCTTACCTCCTCCTTTCTTTTTCTCCTGCTGCTTTGAAATTTCTCTATTGCTGTTTTTCTAAGTTTTTTATTTGAATTTTTGCAGTCAGTTATTTTTAACTTTTCTTGTTTCCTGGTAAGTTTATAAAAGCTATAAATCTTCATCCAAATAGAGCTTCATCAGTGTCCTATGAAAGTTGACATGCAGTACTTTCATTATGAATTTTAGTTCAAAGTATTTCTTAACTTCTGTCATGATTTTTTAACCCAAGGGCTACTTATTCTTTGTACCGTATATAAATGTTAACTTGCAATGTAATAAAACTTTCTGGTTGGAGAATATTGTCTATATGATAGTAACGATTCTTTGGAATTTGTTGAGCCTTTCTTTGTGGCCTAATAAATGGTCCAGTTTTGAACATGTTCTATGGTGCTTGAATATAATGTATATTTGCTGTGTGTTGAGTATAAATTTCTACATATTTAGTCACTTGAGCATATTAATAGTATTAAGCATGTCTTCAATATTTCTGCTTATTTTTTGTTTAATGATTTCTGAGTGACGTTAAAAATTTCAACTACAATTGATTTATCTTTTCTGTTCTATTTCTATTTATTTCTTTTATAATTGTTGATATATTTTGAAGCTTGTTAGTATATGTGTGTGTATATGGATATATATATGTGTATATATTCATATTTATGATGAATATATCTAAGAAGTTTATTTCTCTCTTGCATAACATTTTGAGAGTAAACAGTCCAGAACAGGTATGGTGGCTTCATGGTATGAGGAACCAGGTTTCCTCTGTCTTATTGCTTTGTCATTCCTGGGACATTGCCCTGATAGATATGATCCAAGATGGTTCACCACCATGTCTTCTGAAAGATAAGCCCCTTCCCTTTGATGTCTCTACATGGAAGTTGCACATATCACTTCTGTTCACTTTCTGTTGACCAGAATGTCATCATGTGGGCACTTCTAGTTCTAAGGGACACTGACAGTTTTGCTTATATTCTCGTAACTGTGCCCTAAAATCAATCAACTAACCAATAAATTAAAGAAAAACAAAAACAAACCCAGGATCCATTAGCCCAAGAGACAAAAGGCCCACATAAACCAGAAACTCCATCAGCCTGAGACCAGAAGAACTGGACGGTGCCCGGCTACCATCAATGACCGCCCTGACAGGGAACACAACAGAGAGTCCCTGATGGAGCAGGAGAAAAGTGTGGAGCAGAACTCAAATTCACCTAAAAAGACTAGACTTAATGGTCTGAATGAGACTGGAGGAACCCCTGAAG